ATGATTGGGAGCCTTCAGAGCACTTAACATTAAGTAGTTCTTCACAATCCAGTAATGACTTAGCAGGGACTGTTACAGTAAATAATATGGTGAATGACAACAACCCTGAAGCTGACATACCTCATTCTTCCAGTGACTCTGCAATTCATGAGAACCTGACTGCAATCCCACCTTTAATAGTAGCTGAGACAACAACAGTTCCTTCCTTGGAAAACTTGAGGGTTGTATTGGACAAAGCATTAACAGACTGTGGAGAGCTTGCCTTAAAACAGCTTCATTATCTTCGGCCAGTGGTTGTCCTTGAAAGATCTAAGTTTTCCACACCAATTTTAGACTTGTTTCCAACAAAAAAGACAGATGAGCTTTGTGTAGGAAGTTCCTAAATAGCAATTTTGTTTTCAAAACAGACTGGCTCCAACACTGCAACGTGGGACAATTGCCAACTCGAACAAAGGCTGAGAACCAGCCGTACCATTGTTTAAGGTAGATTAGGCTGTGTATTTACATGAATGTATAATATCTATGTCAGCACTATCAGCTGAGTCCATTAGCTCTCCAGTTGGTTTATTGATTGGGTTTTTTTGTTTGTTTGTTTGTTTATTAAAAGTAAGAAATGGAACTGTACTCTTGTTTGGTGCTAATTAATACATCAAAAATATATTTGGGGCTTCCTTTTTCAAATTAAGTGTGCATGATTGTAAATGGAAAAAATACTAAGATCCCAGGGTGGGAGGGCTAGGGATATGGAGTTCTTACTTGACTTGAATGTGCACCTGAGGGTGCTTTGTGTAATATATTGTACACTACAGCATCTTATATTTTTTGAGTTGAGTTTCAATAAATTACAATTTTTCACCCATTTCTTGTTTACTCCTAAAGAGTTTTCATCCCACACATAAGCTGGAAGTGCACTTGTATTTTCTGGAGTGTGCATTTCTATTTTTAACGAGTCTATTCAGATCAAGCTTTTTTTAAAGTGACTATTGTCTTAAAAATTTTTTGTGGAAAGAACATTTTTACATTGAGTAATTAGCTTTGGGAGTTAAAATAGTTCCCACAAGAGGATGCCTGGGTAGAAAGGAGAGGGTATGCCAAGGAGAACGTGAAGGGCACAGCAAATTCAGAGGTATGAAGTCATGTGTCCAGGGGACTACAAATAATCTGACATGCAGGCAGTAAAAGGAGAGCAGGGAGCACCCAGGTGAATGAGATTACTGTAGAAATAGGTGGGCAGGAACCAAACCATGAACACTGATGATTTTGCCTTTGAAGGACTTTATTCAAAATAACAATTTATAGATCACTTTAAATGAGTGTGATTTGAGGGGCTGAAATGGAATAGATAATAAGGCTGCTAAAGTAATTAAGGCAAACTTGGTGAGAGTATTTTTGACATTTGCAGAAGGAAAAGTAAATGAAATTGAGAAATTTTAAGAGTATTGTTGGGCCTAGGCTGATGTTTCTCAGTGGTTAGAGTGTCAGCCCATGCACCATAGGGTCTCGGGTTCAATTCCCAGTCAAGGGCATGTACTTGGGTTACAGGTCCCAGTTGGGGTGCATGTGGGAGGCAACCAATCAGTGTCTCTCACATTGATGTTTCTTTCTTTCCCCCTTCTTCCCTCCCTTTCTTCCTTCTACTCTAAAAATCAATGGAAAAAATATCCTTGTGTGAGGATTAACAAAACAGCAAGTGTTGTTGGTTCTTTGAGGATGAGGAAAACATTTTGAGGAATATGTAAAGTGATGCAACCAATTGAGGTGGGAATAAAAAAGGAAGGAATGGGCCCTGACTGGTTTGGCCCAGTGGATAGAGCGTCGGCCTGCAGACTCAAGGGTCCCAAGTTCGATTCTGGTCAAGGGCATGTACCTTGGTTGCGGGCACATACCCAGTGGGGAGTGTGCAGGAGGCAGCTGATCGATGTTTCTGGCTCTCTATCCCTCTCCTTCCTCTCTGTAAAAAATCAATAAAATATATATATAAAAAAAGGAACGGGTTTCTGGGAAGAAGGTGGAAAAGCAAGATGAGTTTGGTCTTTGGATGTGTTGAGTTTCAGTGTACTGTGGGACATCTGTAATGACAAGGAAAGCGATGTGTTCTTATAAATGGAATAGCTTTATTCTCTGTTCCTCATGAAATTTTCAACCACTTTCATTAGCTAGCAATGAAATGACTCAAACATTCCTAACATCCCTTTATTATACTGTGGTTAGTATTTCTCTGACCCTTAAACCTTGTTGCCTTGTTTTGTCAGCTCTTTGGGAATTTCATTTTGCCACCTTCTCACCCTATGTCTAAAGCACCCCCTGTACCCAAGTTGATGCTTGGCTCAGATCACAGTAACAGGATTATCAAAAATTTGTTGAAAGAAAAAGTGGCAGGAACTGGCATATCTTAGAGGCTGAGGCCACTGCTGACTCCTTGAGATCTTGAGCTAATCTCTTCTGTGGGCTTCAGTTTCCTCACTTACAGAGTAAGGAGATATAGATGATTGTGGAGAGCGTCTACAGTGTTTGGACAGGTTCAAGCCTCGGACTAATGAGAGGGCACAGTCCTCTCGTGGCCACGTGCGAGTCCCAGCTTGGAGGGCAGAGCCCTCCCAGCACAATTATAACCAACAGCTATAGTTGTAAGCTTGAACCTATGGTCCGAACACGTGGCCCACGTGTCTGAGTAATATGGGCTTGATAGCGTTCAGGTGCATGTAGTTGAGTAGGATCGAAACCTTCTTGACCACACCCTTACTTTGCCTCGTGGAATCTGGCTATAAATAAAGACACCCATGGTGCTGTCGCTAGCTCTCCATCAGAGAGGCTCTCCATCAGAGAGGCTCTCCATCAGAGAGGACAGTGTCCCACCCAGCTCTCCATCAGAGAGGCTCTCCATCAGAGAGGCTCTCCATCAGAGAGGCTCTCCATCAGAGAGGCTCTCCATCAGAGAGGCTCTCCATCAGAGAGGCTCTCCATCAGAGAGGCTCTCCATCAGAGAGGCTCTCCATCAGAGAGGCTCTCCATCAGAGAGGACAGTGTCCCACCCAGACCCAGCTTTTATTCTCTTGTCTGTCTTTTCTCAATCCTTCACTGCCCCCTCTCAGGGTCACCGAACCTGGCTGAGCTGGCACGGCACATAAGGCGCCCAATGTGGGGCTGAGTATGCCATGGGAAACAACTGGTGGCCATATTTTAAAAATTCCTCATACTAGAGATTTTTAACCAGGAACAAGAGAAAACTGCTAATTTGCTTAAAACTAAACTATATTGATTCAGCCACACCTAATTCCCACCCACTGGAAGGACCAAGTGAGTCCCCTTGCAATGGAACCAAACCCTAATTTTCAGAATCCAATTAAAAATTTGCTTCAAGTACTTAGGATCAAATGGTTGATCCTAACATTTCCTATTCTAGTTGGAGCAGCTTGCTTCATTTGATTTTTATTGAAAACAGTGTTTTGTATTAGAAGCAGCATGTGTGACTATATGAGAATGCAAAAAGCCAAAGGGTTATATTTGTAGCTTTTATTAGGTACCATTTTTCTTGATGTCTCTGGGACTTATCCCAGAGTTGGAAATATTGACTTTGTTTTCAAAGCCTTTTTCAATATAAAAATGATGGGTAGTAATAGAGGGTGCCAAGTACTTTCATTCTTTTTATCCAGACTTATCTTGCTTCAGTGTCTCCCCATGTTCATGACACCTGTATGATGTTAAAGAGAGGGTGGAAAACAATGGGAAGAAAGTTTCTGATTAGCTTTCCTAGGGATTCCATCCCCAATGTATCCTTTCTCAGTCCCAGATTGCCTATTTCAGAGTTGCACTGCCAAAGACATAGTCTTAGAGGACAGATTTAGTCATTAACCAAATAAATATTTAAGTACACACTTATTTAAAGATAGTTTCAGATGCTTTGGATATAAAAATACCAAAGTAAGTTCATCAAGGCATCTGCTGTTGTGGAACTTCAATGTGAAGGCTGGGGTAGCTTAAACACTGTTAAAGTGTGGCAGTAGGCCAGCAGCATGGGCATCACCTAGGAGCTTGTTAGAAATGTAGAATGTCCAGAATTTCTGGATCAAATCTGCATTTTAACAAGGTCTTCAGATTACTCATAGGCACAGAAAAGTCCTAGGAGCAATGGGCTAGAGTACAAAGTGGGATGTTCTATGAGAATTCAGGATAATTAACACTTTTTTTTTTAGCACTTTACATAAAATTACCTTGTTGAATGTTTGTAACTCCATGAAGTTGGTACTGTTATCCTTATTTGATAGGCAAAAGCTTTAGAGTTGAAGGGTCTTGCCTAGCCAATAAAAACTAGAAAGAGGTGGAACCTAGTTTCCAATCTCTTCTGATCGGATGAATATCAGAGAGGGGTACTTGCATGCAGGAAGTAAGATGTAAAGTTGCAGGTGGTAAAGTACCCAAAATACCAAAGCTCTCAGTGTATTGTTTGGGAAAGTGAATAGTGGGAAATAAAGTTTGAAGTGTAAGTAAAAGCCAGGTTCTGTAACTCCAACTCCAGCCATATGTCCAGTATTGACATTTCCTCATGTGAGGGAAGAGATGGAAAACTGGTGCGTATTATTTCTGTAACATGTAACCTGTGAAAAGGTCAACTTAAAGAATCTAAAAGTCAGAAAAATTGCTCCGTCCCCTCTCCTTCCCACCTCCCACCCCACAGTAGACTGATGCCTTCTGGCTTTGTACTACAGATTCGGGGCAACACTCCTCTTACATAAAGCTGAGTCTAGAAAGAGTATCTGCAGGAATAGATTGTGACAGACTGCATTTAGAGGTCTGAACCACTTTGAGGAAGGTAACCAGGATAGTCACATTTAATCTGTCAACCTGTATTTGGTACGTTTAGCTTGGAAAAGAAAAGACAGGAGGCACAGGAAAGCTATAGCCAAATATTTACAAAGCACATGCCATCACTAGCTCCTGAGGATAAGAGTGTTGAACAGGACATGGTGAGTTTCCTGCATCACGGAGATTACAGTCTAGTAAGGAAGATAGACATTAAATGAAATACTAAAAGTGGTTAAGTGCTGCAATAGAAGCTTTGCCTGTGATGGGAACCAAAAAGAGGACAGGAAAAGCTGCTTTGAGGAAGTGGTGTTTAAACAGAAATTCAAAGAATTAATAGGAGTTAGCCAGAGAGGATAAGCCAATTATGTGCAAAGGTTTTGTGGTGCAACAGCTTGGTATGGTAGTGACATTTGCAAGTCTAGTTGAAAGAAAAAGTGGGAAAGGGAAAGGAGAGGGTTGGATAGGTAAGCAGGAACCAGGTATTTTAGTGTCTTATAACCCATGTTCTAGATTTCAGATTTTGTTTGAAAGCCAACCTATTGAAGGCTCAAAAGTAAACATTGCATATGTCATAAGTTGCCACGTGTAAGTAAAAAAAGCCCTAATAGGGCATAGGCATGATGTTGAAGACTATTAAATAGACACAACCGTGTGATGGCTGGTTGACTAGGTGAAAGGATGACACTAAAGGTGGGCTGAGATAAATTCTTGGTCATTGGAGTTGTTCAGGTATCCAAGTGGGAAATCAAACAAATGGGTTTTTTGGCCTAGATTCTCTTGAGACATCATATATTATTGAGATTTACAATACCTTGTATTTAATCATAAATATCACTACAAATAATAGTTGCCCTTATCTATATGTATAGCATGGTACTTTTACACAAATTATCAAATTCTCATTACAGCTCCTCAAGGTAGGAATAACTCCCACTTTACAAATGAAGAATTGAGTCCCAGATTAATAACTTTCCCAAGGTAACAAGGTTAGTGAATAGTTGAACCCAGATCCATTATACTCTCAAAGACCTCATAACAGCTACTAGTATAAACAAAGTTTCTATACAAACTAGTACACAAATATGGTAATTAATAGGCATTTGATGAATGAACAATTTAGTCTGGAATAGATATCTGGAATTCTTCTAGGGGGACTTTGCATTCACTTAAAAATACTTTAATATGTGCTATGTGCCAAGCACTAGGGATAAAGTAGTCAATAAAATGGACATGGTCCCTGTCTTTCTTGAATTTATAATAGATGAGAAAAGCCTGTATTACACCAAAAATGACACAAATCACTATAGTTGTGTTAAGTGCTTTGAAAGTAAAGTATTAGGTGCATTGTAACGGGGATCTAATTGAGTGTGGGGAGTCTTACATTATTCAGCTGTCACATCCCTATCTTTCTCCAGTTTCTGGTTATCATTCTCTGGTTTCTTACCTATGTTTTTAACCTGTTATAGTCAAATCCCAAGCCTTTTCTGAGTAACTAGCCCTTCCTAAAGGATTCTGGCTACTGTCAATTGCTAGCAGACTATGGGTTTAACATCCATAGCAGTCACTCCTAAATTACTTCTCCCCGACACAAGTACTATATTTCCAACAGCATTGTAGACTCCATTTTCTGGAAGTGTCTCTGACACCTCAAGCAACGTATCATACCTCCTCTTCCTGGAAGAACCAAACAGTTATTCCTTCCCCACCCAGCTTCCCTATTCCTGTTGTTTCAGTCAACCACAATGAACAACTTGGAGTAGCACCAGACAATATTTTCTAAAAATCATTCGTCATAACTGATCCTTTCTTTCCTTATTGTGCCCCTCCCCACTTGGTGCAAACTCTCTTGTATTCTTGCTGTGTGTGAACTATCTTTTTCCATGTAAGCTTTTGGGGAACAGATCATACATTTTATATTTTCATATCGCCTTGCTGAGAGGATAGGTACTAATCAGTAAATAACTGATTTGATGACACACCAAATAGATTATAGTGCAACATGCTGTTTACAAAAGTGTTTAGAAAATGATACCATTTTTTCCCCTAATATAAATTGTTGAGGTGGAATGCCCTTCTGTAAAAAGATAAGCAAAATGAGGATCAAATGTGAAAAGTCTTCCTAAAGATCACAATTTCTTAATTATAACACATGAAAAAAGGGGATGCTACAAAATGATCCAGTTATGATCTCTCTCCACATTTACCAGGTAAACTATTCACTCTTTAGTAAAGCCCTCTCTAAATCCTGTCTTCTCAGATGTCCACGTAGCCTCAATTGTCTCATTTTTCATGTGAAAATATTGTGCATTCAATGGATTGTTGGAAATTATCCAAACACTGTCCAAGAAGGTAACCACTAGCCACACATGGTTACTTAAATTTAATTAAAATTAAATAAAATGTAAAATTCAGTTCCTCTGCCACAGTATACACATTTCAAGTGACTAGTAGCTACCATATTGGACAGGATGTATTTCCATCTTTGTAGAAAGTTCAATTGGGCAGTGCTGTGCTAGAGCTAGGACTTGTCAAGATCAAAGAAAACAATATGACCAAACTGAAAACGCAGGCCAGTCAGTACCTGGTTGGTTTTGAGTGAGAAGGTTCACTGGGTGAGTGGGAAGCAAGCTGATTTTTGGGACGGTGACATCACAAAGCACAGCTCACAGGGGCTCTAGAACACCTGGGCTCCCAGGCCACTTTCCTTAACTCATATCTAGGGTCCTGAAGACTCTGAACATGTAGCTCTGGAGCTGCTGTCTTATTAAAATGCCAACATCTTCACCTTCATCTTCTATCTGGGACATCATAGATTATGCCTCTCTGAGCTCAATATGGAATTGGCTCCAAGCAACTTTTCTGGGACAGACTGGTGTGGCTCAGCAAACAAATTTGGGGCTAATAGATAATCTTGCTCCGGTTCTGCAAGCTGCCCTCGGGATTTTCTTTCTTATTTTTTTGGCAGTAGGACTATACGCCTTATGGAAACGAAGTGTTCGGTCAATTCAGGTTATACTCTTTTGATAGAGAAATTTAAATAGTTATACATTGAAAGTTGATTCTCTCCCCATATTGCTACCATTCTGTCTTAAGACCATGCAGATGGGCAAGGGTGAACTCGTCTCTGAAGGTTTTTTAGTTGGTTGAAACTAAATTGTCCTTAAAAACTTCCCCCAATTAGGTTTTGAGCATAAAAATGCTTTCTCACAATTGTCTTTGGCTTGTCTTATAGCAGTGGTTCTCAACCTTCCTAATGCCGCGACCCTTTAATACAGTTCCTCATGTTGTGGTGACCCCCAACCATAATTCCGGTCTTATGTTAAAATAAAAAAAAAAGTAATGAAAAGAAATGATTTTATAGATTCTAGTAATTTCATAATACTGATATAATTGGTAATAGTAAGACTACTGAATGGCAGACTTTTTTTGCAGTTCTTTACTTATCCTTATACCATATTTCCAATGAGGATGTACAGTCAAAATACTGTGTCCCAAAGTCACTTGAAATAATTGTGGATGCCAATAACTTGATATACAGTTAGGGTTTATTTGGTTTAGATTGTTTTAATTTTAATTTTTTTTTAAAGTAAAACATTGGCACGATTCCAAAGTCAAACTATGTAACTGTATGTGCAGAGAACTTTTACTTTCATCCATTTTCTCTCTACTATCCAGATTCTTCCCTTCACTTACACTGCCATTCTGGTTATTCCCATTTTTTAAAAAATATTTTAAAAAATATTTTTATTGATTTCAGAGAGGAAAGGAGAGGGAGAGAGAGATAGAAACATCAATGATGAGAGAGAATCATTGATCAGCTGCCTCCTTCACATCCCCCACTGGGGATCAAGCCTGCAACCGGGACATGTGCCCTGACAGAGAATTGAACCATGACCTGCTGGTTCATAGGTTGACATTCAACCACTGAGCCATGCCAGTGGGGCTCTGTCCCTCTTTGATTATAAAAATCCTTACAGAACTACCTGGAGACAGATAGAAATAGTAAAAAATATATATATCCTATATAATAAAAGGGTAATATGCAAATCGACCAAACAGCGGAGCGACTGGTCTCCATGATGCACACTGACCACCAGGGTTTCAGTGGTTCTCAACCTTCCTAATGCTGCGACCCTTTAATACAGTTCCTCATGTTGTGGTGACCCCCAACCATAAAATTATTTTCGTTGCTACTTCATAACTGTAATTTTGCTACTGTTATGAATCGTAATGTAAATATCTGATATGCAGGATGTATTTTCATTGTTACAAATTGAACATAATTAAAGCATAGTGATTAATCACAAAAACAGTATGTAATTATATATGTGTTTTCCGATGGTCTTAGGCGACCCCTGTGAAAGGGTCATTAGACCCCCCAAAGGGGTCGTGACCCACAGGTTGAGAACCTCTGTCTTATAGTAAAGTAGATCAAACAAGTTCACAACCTGAAAAGGCAGCCTTACCCCCAAATTTATTTATTTATAAATGTTTTTATTGGTTTCAGAGAGTAAGGGAGAAGGAGAGATAGAAACATCAATGATGATCAAGAATCATTGATTGGCTGCCCTCTGCACGACCCCCACTGGGGACTGAGCCCACAGCCCAGTCATGTGCACTGACCTAGAATGGAACTGTTATCACCTGGTTCATGAGTAGACGCTCAAACACTGAGCAACACCAACCGGGCACCCCCACATTTATTTGATCACTGATTCATCTTTGAGTATCTACTATGTGCCAGGCGCCATTCGGGGTACCTTTTCTAGAATAGGCACCGCGAGTATAACTAGGATCTTGGGTTCTTACTGTGCCATTGCTTTGTAACTGATGAGGCATGAATAGTCAGTCATTTAGTCATCATGGTGTTTTCATTATTTCCTTGTTTTAACAAGATAGGGTTCCATAAGTATACAGTGGCTCTTTTTGGTAAGAGGAGTATAATTGGCTGGGATTATGAGAAACATTTAGGATTTTACATATTTCTGTGTAATCATCTAAAATAATACCTATATTTACAATATAGTCAAAATGCTTTGAGAGTCCCAACAATTTCATGATACGAAGTTATTTTCATATGGAAAACAAAAATGAGGTGAACTGAGGTTCAGTGGAAATGAAAGGAGATAGGTTTTAAAAAAGAGTGTCTTAAAGAGTGACTGGTTTACTTGGCAAATGCTAAAAGAAATTATTACCAAATCATTGTACAGCATGTCACTACTGTTGAGGAACCATGGTCATATGCATTCTCTTAATCTTTCAAACCCTGCATGGTAGGCAGGGCAGGGATTATCATCTCAATTTTATAGGTGAGGAAATTTGGTTATCACCTACCCACGTTGACAGAGACCGGAAAAGCTGAGATTTGAACCCAACTTTTAGGATTCAAATTCAATTCTTTTCCAAAATCTCATTTAACATAAGCTGACTTAAATCCCAATATGGATGTGTATTTATATACATATTCACATACACACATTATAATCAGATAATACAAGGCAAAAAACCAAACTCTATCTGTAGTTCTGAGTTCTGCTCTTATATGGTTAATGCTTAGTTAAATCAGAAAGACGAATTTACAGCCCTCCACAAACTCAGCCAAGAAAAAGCGGTAGTGTAACAGAATGGTAAATAGCACGGGCGCTGAAGTTGACTGCTGGGGCTTAAATTTTGGTTCCACCACTTGCTGTGTGACCAAGAGCAATCACTTAGCCTCTAAGCCCATTTCCTTAACTGTAAGATGGGTTTGCTAACAGTGCCTTCCTCAGGGTTGTTGTGAGGATTCAAGGAGTTACTACTGTATATATAAAGCTTAGCACATAAATATCCAATAAGCAAGTAGTGCTGGTATTATAAGGAAAAAAGATTGTTTGTTTGTTTTTTATTCTGGCAGGAATCTGTCTTGGTACATTAAAAGTTTTTGCCATGACCAGGAAATCCAGTTTTTTAGACCACTGTGTCCTGAATATACATGTAAGTCTGAATTCCTGGATTCCAGTACTGGCTCTACCATTTCCAAGTATATGACCTTGGACAATGACAGGGTCCAAAATGGAAGGTAACAAAATGGCTATTCAGTTGTGTGTTTTTGTTTGTTTTTTACATAATTAGGTCATGCACAGGCAAGGGAACTCCTAGCAAAGAGCCCTGCATGTGGCAAACTTTCGGCAAAGGGTATCTATTATTATAATCTTTATTAAGTAAATGCAAATAATAATCCCTGACCTGCCTACTACTATATTTTGTGGTGAAAATCAAAAGATGAAATAGGGGCAAAGATGTTTTGTTAAACAAGGCTTGGAAAAGGAATGAGGGATTATTGTTACCACTCAGTTTTTGTTTTATTCTGCATCTATAGTAAACTGGCATTTCACGTGAATAAACAAGTAACGTTCAACTTCTGTTGTTTTATTTTAGAGTCTGTTGTTGTTTGTAATCACACTCTACAGACTTTACAAGAAAGGCTCAGAGTTTTTGGAGGCTTTGCTGGTCAACCCAGAAGGGATTCATCTCCCAATTCAAGACAAAAGTATCCTCCTGTCCTTGGGTCTGCAAGAGAAAATTTTGAAACAACTTCAGATGGTGGAAAGCAAAGTGAAGAACCTGGAGGGGATGATAATTTCTCAAAAACCTGCCACGAAGAGGGATTGCTCCTCTGAGCCCTACTGCAGCTGCTCCGACTGCCAGAGTCCCTTGCCCACATCAGGGTTTACTTCCACATCTGAAATCTGATGGACTCCAATCTTTTCCAGACAAGCACCGTTTCCCTTGTGTGCAGTGGTGTACCAATAAAGGTAGAGAACTGTATTGAAATTACCCTACAAGGCCTGGCTCTCTATCAGTAGGGCCCAACTTTTTCTTGTGTGTTGGGGTAATATTGGGAAGGGTGGTGGTTTAAAATGTCTCTGGGATTGTGGTGCCCACTCAGCAGGCTGGAGACCCGAATCTAGGGATTGGGAAAAGAAGGGAGAGTGGTCATGGATATGGCCTTCAGCTCCATACCAAGGAGGTTGGGTTGAATATAATAAACAGCAAGAATGTGCCATTGGAGGGCGATGCTGTGGACTGTCCTGTAGAGGTAGGCTGGCCCTTGTGCTGGTCTTGGGTATAAATGAACTATTTGGCCCAGGAGTTTCCCTGCATTAATTACTCAGAAGTGGGCAAGGGTGGGGGTGGACATAAAGGAGACTGTTTAACTTTATCCACCTTTTGCTGATACTTCCTCTGTGCTGAGCAGTGTGATAATTCTTGGGAATCTGTCCCGAGTGTTTCAGGAGCTCTCGGTTTGGCTGGCTGGACAGGTAATTTCAGAACTTGACTTTAGGGGAACTCTCATGTGAATTCAGTTTGGCAGCGCCTTGGCACACTCAGTTGGTTAAAGCATCATCCCAATCTGTCAAGGTTGCAGGTTTGGTCCCGGTCAGGGCACATACAAGGATCAACACTATGATACAATTTTCACAAGTATGGGGAAATGGTAGCTAATCTTTATTGGGCAAGCCAGGCACATTGCTAAGATATTTACATGATTCTTCTTATTTGGTCCTCACAATATGAGGAAGCAAATACTATTATTCTCATTTTACTGACAGGAAACTGATAGACAGAGAGGTTAAGCAACTTGCTAACATATGGTACAGCTATGACCAGGACTCAAGCAGCCTGACTAAATGTGCACTCTTTAGCCACAAAGTTTGGAGCTTCTGTGAGATTTTGGACCAACTGCAGCAGGCTGGCTGGACCTAGACAGATGAAGACAAGAAGACTGAAGAGGGCATAGCAATGACAGACCAAGGGAGAATTTTGAAAAAGTGTTTATCCCCTCATATTTTAAGTTAATATCTAAAAGTTTCCATCATTCATTTAAATAGTTGCAATGGAGCCCTAGCTGGTTTGGCTCAGTGGATAGAGCGCGGGCCTGTGGATTGAAGGGTCCCGGGTTCGATTCCGGTCAAGGGCACGTATTTCAGTTGCAGGCTCCTATCAGGCCTAGGCACTGGTCGGGCCTCATGCAGGAGGCAACCAATCAATGTGTTTCTCTCACAGTGATATTTCTGTCTTTCCTCTCTCTTCTCTCTCTAAAAATCAATGGAAAATATCCCCGATTAAAAAACAAAAGTAGTTGTAATGCATGTAAATTCTGGCAAATTATAAATAATGACAATTTAAGATAAAATTGTAAAATTACTTTTTATAATGTATCCAACAGAATCCACATAACAACTGAATAACCACTATCATCCATTTAAAATTACACAAATAAGCTCTTTAATATTTGTCATTTCTACATTTTCTTTTATCATTTCTAATTTACATTTATATTCCACTTCCCCATTAAATGTTATCCGAATGTAACTTTTTGTTAGTAAAACCTTTAATTGATCCTTGTTTGAGATAAAAATATGTACCTATTAGGAGTAGAATTTTTTTAATGTTCCTGTAATTGTATGGGTCTATGTATTAGAATTCTTTGAATTTGACTAATCATTATAATGATCATTACAATTAATGATTAAAAATCTGTGCAAAATGATACGATTACATTTAATAATACATAAACATAAAATGTAAAACACTACTGGAAAAGTATTTCTCAGTGAGATGGATGGGGCTTCCTCACCAGTTAATTCATGTGTCTGAATGACTACTTATTACTAATAGATTCATTTTTTTGTTTTTGTAGATATAGTGCTGAGAAATATTACTCCACAAATAGGAATGCTAGTTTTCTAATAGGCATGTCAATCAATTCTTTAACTTCCTTCTCAGTTATATACCACAAATTAAATAATGTCCCTTCATTAGCTGACAGTTCAATTAGGTCCACCACTAATTTTGTTGAAAGCAAAGAACTGAAAACATTTTAACTTGCAAAACAATTTGTTATCCTGTCATTAGAGACCATCACTTTCTCGAGTGACATTTAATTATGTAATTACTCTCATTTAGAAGCATTTCGGAAAAGTTGGGAAATTCAAGATAGTGTTAATTTCCACACATCATTAGCACTACAATTTCACTGTAATTTAAATATATTTTAGTTGCAGATTTAGCTCAATTCATTGTAAATAATAATAATGCACAGTAGCAACGCCACTCTGTCAATCCAAGTAACCAAGTCAGATTTATCTTCGGTCAGGAAATATTTCACTTGTCAAGTCAAACCAATGTGTTAACAGGCGTCCCCGTGACCACATTTCACTCCTGAATTCCAAGACAGACATGGCACTGTGCTTTGATCGGAGTTTGTCCCTACATCAGGGTAGGCCCTTCCACTTTGCTCCAGAGCACTCTCTCTCTCTCAGGCAAAATGCCGCCTTGGACTCGCCTGAGGTGGAAGAGGCGAGATTTGGAATGAAAATCTCATCACTACCGCCCATTCTCTAACACGCCTGAATTCAGAATACCCCGACACAGGCCGAAACACGGCGCTTACAACGCCTAGCCTCTCTGTTGACTATCCCTTTAGTCTGAAGGTATCCCGGGATGAACATACCACAATCCGAATAGCATTAGTTAGAGGAATGGCCTCTAGAGCCTGAGACGTCCGCTCCTGCCTGGTTCTTCCCAGCTACTTCGGGGCGGGAGCGGCGGTCCCCTCTGCCTTAGTGCCCGCTCGGCCCCCTACCAGTGGGCTGGTCCTGGCGGGGAAAGACGGCTCAGGTCGCGGCCCAGCAGGGCAAGCCCCGAAGCGAAGAGATAGATGCAACTGCGGATCTGGAAGCTAGAAAGCAGCGCCAGAGGGAAGCCGGAAGCCTCGGCCGGCCCTCGGCAAGGAGCTGAAGGGAAAACATGTTGGTGTGCATCTCAGCGTGACCAGGTCGCGGGCCGGAGCTGGGGTTGGCGGAGGCCGGAACGCGGCGTCAGGGTTTCAGTTCTCCTCGAGTCGGAAGGGCGGGAAGCGGAACGGTCCTTTTCCGGCAGAAACGAGGCGGTCCAAAGAGGCGTGGGCACGGGGAAGAGTATCTGTGTAACACTGCCGGCTGCGCGCAGGGCGTGGGATGGGGTGGCTGTCGGAGCCGGGGCGCTCGGAAGGGACGGAAATAGCTGTAACACCGACGGGACGCTGTGAGGGGACGGTGTTGGTGTGGCACTGTTGCACGCTTCAGGAGCCGGCGGAACCCGGTGGCCATGGGGATGTGGACGTCGCTGGACCCCATGTGGGAGATGCCGGCCGAGAAGCGTATCTTTGGGGCCGTGCTGCTCTTCTCCTGGACCGTGTATCTGTGGGAGACCTTCCTAGCACAGCGGCAGGTGAGCCTACAGAGCGCAGCTAATGCTGACGCCCGGCCAGCTCTAGGCCAGCCATGGTCTCACCCCAAGTCCCTGAATGAGGCTGCGGCCCCAGCACCCAGCCTCGACCCTCTGGAGTCCCTACTGAGCCTCCTCATTTGGCCCGATGGTGGGATTGGCCTTGAGAGGACCCGGGGCCTTGGGCACGTTTTCCGCAACGTGATGGAGGGACTCGGGCGGGTTAGGGCCTGCAAGGGAAAGCAGCCTTACACCTGCCCCACGGCTTCCTTAAGCTCCCCGGGGGGGCTGATCTTTGTGATCTATGGCAGCGACCCATAAGCCTTCAAAGGGAAGATCCTAACATTTTAGAATCACGAGTTCCTCATGACTTTTGTACAATCATGCTCAACCATAGAATCAGGAAACCATTTTCTGAAAATAAATCCTTCCGAGGGCCCGAACTCTTTTTCCTTAAAAAATAAAGTGGTGGGTGTTTTTTTTTTGCCCGAAGAACAATCTTTCTTGTTTTTATCAAAAGCTTCTTTATTATTTTTGTTTAAGCAATTAAAACAGTAAAGTAGACATGAAAGTTACTTAGCAGTTCCCGGGCGATGATCATAACAGCTTGATGGACTAGAGATCTGAACTTTTAAATGGGATAGATTTTAAGTTTAGTTGACTGCTTTATTGCCATCTTTCACTGCTGGTTTGCTTTACCTACATTCTTCTGTGTTGTTGCTGAATTGTGTCAGCCAGGATGGCTATGAAAACCTTTTTTTTTTTTCTTGAGCATTACAGTCTTTTTCCTCTGCAAATTTCTTCTCTCATTTGACATTCTGCATGAATCTTTAAATTGGAAAATTTAATTTTTCTCTATCTGTCAGTGTTTGGGTTATATCTTGATCTCTTCTTTCAATCCAGAATATTCAAAGAGGCATTAATATGAATAGCATTCGTTTCTCTGACCTAATAGCTCTTTGGATAGCTTCATTAGTTCAGTCTTGTTCGCCTAGAGAAGATACTTTGCAGAAAGGAAGCACACAATATGTAGTATCCAAATTGGGGAGGGGTTTTGAACATCTCTCTGTCTTACTTTAATAATAAGCCTATTTCAGTAACTACTTTTCTATAGTGTCTTCTTTACTCAGTTATGCTTTCATGTAGTGCCTTTTAATGAGGGTTTGGTAAAATGCATAACAATAAATAGAGAAGCCATTAAAACCACTGTAGAAGATACTGTCCATTATATTGTTCGGTATCGGTTCCTTGTATTATGTCCCATGGGCTTAAAGTATCTTTTAGCATTTGGTTTAACAAGAAAATTTGTCTTTCTTGAAGACCTGATATGTTTGTATCTGTTATTCCTCAAATTTCCCTTAATTTGGCTGCTTGGACCAAATTTAATTACTAGCCACAATATCTGTTAATACTCATGGTTAGCATATTTGGTTCCTTGTCCTTCCCATGAATTTGTTTTCTGTATTATAGGATATATGTTATACCTGAAATGAATGGTATCATTTGTGAAGTTACAGTTTTGGTTTACATATGCAAGCTGAAGTATGATAACAACCCTGATTTTAATCTTGCATAGTCAGCTAGCCTCAGATTCTCTTGTTCTTTTACTTTTCTGCACAGTTGTTTTAGTAGACAATGTGCTTGATCAAATACATTAATTGTGTATGTATAAAGCAAATTCAACAGGCTTACGTGACAAATTAACATTATAAACCATTCAATGTTTGATCATAAATGACTAGTGTAATATATAATGAGTTGGTTTGACTGTTTCATTAAAGTGTTTTGTTTTTTTCAAAATATTTCAGAGACGGATATATAAAACAACAACTCATGTACCAATGGAATTAGGACAGATCATAGATTCAGAAACGTTTGAGAAATCTCGACTGTATCAGCTGGATAAAAGTACCTTCAGCTTCTGGTCAGGACTCTATTCAGAGATTGAAGGCACTGTGAGTAATTTACTTCTTGAAGAGACTATCAAATTGTTTAATACTTTTTAAAATATATTTTTTTTATTGATTTAAGAGAAGAAGGGAGGGAAAGAGAGACAGAGGGAGAAATCAATGAGAGTGAATCATTGATCGACTGCCTCCTGGGATCGAGCCCACAACCTGGGCATGTGGCCTGACCGGGAATCGAACCCAGTGACCTCTGGTTCATAGGTCGACACTCAACCACTGAGCCATGCTGGCTGGGCTGTTTAATGCTTTGTAATGTTTGTTTTCCTTTTTATATTTTTGTAATATAAATACATCTACAAATCCGAGAATTTTTTTTCTGATCTTTGTTATTGATAGAATAGGTGTGAAGCAAAAGAGGCAGAAATGTAACTGTTATGATTTCACTTATATGTGGAATCTAATGAACAAAATAAACTAACAAAATAGAAACAGATTCATAGATACTCATAAAGAACAGACTGACAGCTGTCAGAGGGGAAGGGGTTTGTGGTGCTGGGTAGTAGCTTGATTGTTACCGTTGGTGACATGGGAGTGGTTCAGTTTGCTAGGAGATGATAGAGGTAGGGAGAGTACAAACAGAATGAGAGCTCTGTAATCTGCTGTGGCTCAAGCTAGAAGCAGTACTGATGGGCGAAAGGTGGGAACAGTAATAGTCATTATAATAGTTGTATGGGTGGCCCTGACTGGTTTGGCTCAGTGGATATGGCGTCGGCCTGCAGACTGAAGGGTCCCGGGTTCGATTCCGGTCAAGGGCATGTACCTTGGTTGCAGGCTGGATCCCCAGTGGTGGGCGTGCAGGAGGCAGCTGATCGATGTTTCTCTCTCATCAATGTTTCTAACTCTCTATCCCTCTCCCTTCCTCTCTGTAAAAAATCAATAAAATATATTTTTTTAAAAATAGTTGTATGGGTAGTGATTTTTCATTTCGTATATTGTTTTCATATTTATTGTTTTGTTTGATGTTTATAACAGTCTCTGTGGTAGAAAGTATAAGCATTATTCACTTTTTATGGCTGAGAAAGTGAAGGCTCAGAGAAATTAAATGACTTGCCCATTTAATGGCTAAGTAACGCTAGTAAATGGGAGAATGGGTTTCAAACGCTGCTCTTCTGAGTCTTTAAAATTACATTGAAGAAACCATTCTTGAAACTCTAGGGACTACAACATGAATGTGCTATTTCTCCTTGGGGAATTAGCAGCTACATTTGCCATGAGATAGGGAGCATTTTGTGTTACTTTGAAATCCTGTTCTGTTTGAAAACAAGTTCATTAATTCCTGTTTTGTGTTGATTAAAATCAATAGGCTTATATGCTTTAGTACAAAGATTAGCTTAGACTCTTTTTCTTGCCTTGGTATTTTTTACCTGAGGGAACATAAGCAGAGGCCTTGTGTACCCACAGGTGCCACTGTTCACACATAGGTGACAGCCCCCAGCGAGGAAATGTCCAGCCTCTCTGAGACACTCCTCACATCTCATAGATGTCAGTAAGGAGCCCTCTCAAGAATGGAATGGCTGAGGAGTAGCGTAGGGCAGAGTAGAAAAGTTCAAATTGTTGCTTCTTTAATTTCTGTGTGTTTTGGGGTGAGTAGTTTAGCCTCTTTGAGCCTCATTTTCCTCCTCCTTAAGATGAGAAGTAGATAGATATTAAACCATGTTACATGTGGTTTATGGCAAGGACTAGTAAGATAATGTAAATGAAGCACTTAGTACAGTGCTTCACACAGCAATTACTTAGTCATTGGGTTTCTTTAGGCAAATTACTTCAACCTCTCTGAGTTTCAGTTGCCTGGTTTGTAAAACAGAGATGACTGTGCTCTTGCCCTGCCTGCTTTCAAAACTTCAGTGAAATAATTATAAAAGCACTGGACTTATTATTGCTGAGATCATTAGTTCTTTTTATAGGATATCCCAGGAGCATGCTCAGGGAGAGTATCAGTATAGAGAAAGTTTACTGTTCACTGTACTTTGTTTTTCATTCCACAGAGTATACTAAACAAGGTTGCAACAGCAGTACCCAAATGCATTCATAGATGCACTCAAAGTTCATATTAAAGCTACCCTTGGTACTTACTGAAAAGCTGGACTTTTAATTACAGTGGGGCCTTGACTTACGAGTTTAGTTCATTCCGTGACGGAGCTCGTAACTCAAATTACTCGTATGTCAAATCAAGAAGTGAACGAGTGAGACCCGTGATGCTGGGCTGATGTTGTGGCGTTCACTGTGACGTTCTCTGCGCCAACTAGCGGTGGGGTATCTGAAGCTGGCTCGTAACCCGAATTTTAGCTCGTAACTCAAAACAAAAAATCGGTTTAGAGACAGCTTGTATCTCGAAAAACTCGTTAGTCGGGACACTCGTAAGTCAAGGCCCCACTGTATAAGTGTTTCAGCCCTTCACCAAAGGCATTATAAATCCTTAATTCTGTATTATTTATTAGTATTGAAAATAGGATGAAAGAAATGCCATCCCAAGTCCATTAATTCAACAAGTGGAACATATACCATGCATTGATGCCAAAGCATGTCTTTTGGGAAAATAGGGTTTACACCTATGATTGAGTTAGTTATTGTAAAGTGGAAATAGCTGGACATAGAGCTAAGGGAGCCTTTAAAAGCAATTTATTAAAACAGTGTTTTTCAAATTTGGGTGTACATCAGATTTATCTGGAGACTGCTGGGCCCCATTTCCAGTTTCTGATTCAGTAGTTCTGGGGTAGAGCCGAGAATTTGCATTTCTAACATATTCCCAGGTGATGCTACTGTCCAGAGATCATATTTGAGATCCCTGGTATTAAACCAACCCAGTATACTTGTAAAAACCTAAAAGATGGATGGGATCAACTGTGAGTGAGATTGTGGGGAGACAGGAACACTCAGGTAATGCTGATGGGAGCATAATTTGGTATAAATACTTTAGAAAACAGCTGATAATACTGAATAAAGTTAAAACTCACCAAGGATGGATCTAAAAAAATGTAGAGTGTAAAAGGCAGGTTGTATCGCATGATGTCATTTATATACATTCTTAAAAAGCATGTATAAACCATGATATTATTTATGGATTCATAGATAAAAATGCAAAGTAGATTGGGAGGATACCCATAAACTATATTATAGTGCCTCAAACCCTCAAAGCACAAGGAACTGGTGAGATATTGTGCTTCTAACCAAAAAGTGTGATCGATCATTGTACTCCTGAGACTCCACAGAAAGAAACAATAAATTGATGCCTCTTGACCAACTTGTATCTGTTGTGGGAAATCGTGTTTCTTCAGCATGTATTCTCAGATTTTAAGAGCTTCCTCACTCAAATGTCCAAGTGATTTAGTGAATATCTGTATTCACTTTATCTGCCCAAGACAAAGGGTGTGCTGAGAAAGGGGCCTCCTGTGAAACCCTGACTCCTACCTCAGGATTCACCTTCTTACCTGTAGAAGGTACAGAGATTCCATTCTGTCCCAATTTGATAAGTGGACAGGACTCTCCACTTATACCAATACTAATACTTTGTCCTGGCTGAAGAGGTGGGGTTTTTTTTTGGTGTGTGTGTGTGTTTTTTTGTTGTTGTTTTTTTTAGGAAAAGCCAGTTATGGAGTCATAAAGCCTGGTTCAATCCATTTCTGTCACTCAGTAGCAGTGGGATTTTGGACAATTGCTTAGCCATTCTAAGCTTGTTTCCTGATTCAGAAAGCCTTTGTTAAGGTCTTGGCAAAAGTTTGTGTTTTTTTTTTTAACATATTTTTATTGATTTCAGAGAGGAAAGGAGAGGGAGAGAGAGATAGAAACATCAGCAATGAGAGAGAGAATCATTGATCAGCTGCCTCCTGCATGCCCCATACTGGGGATCGAGCCCGCAACCCAGGCATGTGCCCTTGACCAGAATCGAACCTGGGACCCTTCAGTCCGCAGGCCAACACTCTATCCACTGAGCCAAACCAGCTAGGGCTTCTTTTTCTTTAAACAGCTTTATTGAGATACTAGAGACCCGATGCATGAAATTCGTGCAAGAGTAGACCTTTGCAGCCATGGCGGCTGCCTAGATCCCTCCCTCGCAGCCCCAGTGGCTGCCTGGATCCCTCCCTCACAGCCATGTCCGGAAAAACGTCCGGTAGGACGTCCAGTCTAATTAGCATATTATACTTTTATTATTATAGATAATTCGCATATTACACAATTCACCCATATAAAATGTACAGGCAAATACCTTTTAACAGTCTAAATTTAGTATCTCAATTGGTTTATATTCATCTAAATGCGTATTTTATCCTAAATAAGACAGGTCATTGTTTCTCTATACCATGATGGTTTCTAGTACTGCTCAAATGTGAGCAAGGTATGCTTTGTTTTATAGCTTATTCTTCTCTTTGGAGGAATCCCTTATCTCTGGAGACTTTCTGGACGATTTTGTGGCTATGCTGGCTTTGGACCAGAATATGAGGTATGTACATCCTTTTCTTAGCTTCCGTGGCTCTGAAATGATACCTGTCCTTTGCACATTTTGTAGGTGAACCACTCATTTAATCTCAGACACAAGGGAGCTGAGTAATGTAGTCTCTGGTTAGGCAGCTGCTTCTCAGGAACAACTCAGCAATGAATGGGAAAGCATGTGTTTTGTTGAACCCACACTAAGCAGGTACTCAGTGCCACATAACTTAGCAGATACTTCAGACAAAGACAGAGTGTGTATCTCTTACAGTCTCCATTGAGCTGCTTGGTTTGTCTACCCACTCTTCCAGGAACTCCAGTTGAAGGCAAAGCCTTAAACCTGAGATTGCCTGCCTGTAAGGATGTTGAGACACTGCTTCCTGACTTTTCCTTAGAAATTTCCAAGTCTATTCCCTCTTTCCTGGTTCCTTTTTAAAATGATGGGTCTCTTCTACATATATAGGGACCTTGGGCTTTAATTCAGCTCATCTTATGTCCCTTTTCTAAAGCAGCCAAATTCTTTTAAGGTCCCTTCTTTTTAAATGTATTTTTATTGATTTCAGGAAGAAAGGGAGAGGGAGATAGAAACATCAGTGATGAGAGAGAATCACTGATTGGCTGCCTCTTGCAGGCCCCCCTCTGGGAATTGAGCCCACAACCCTGGCATGTGCCTTGACCAGAATCCAGCCACGATCTCCCAGTTCATAGGTCAATGCTCAACCACTGAACCACACTGGCTGGGCTATTTTATTTTCTATATAAAGGCACTTACCACTATTGCAGTATTATAATTGTGAGCACATGAAAGTTTATTTTTTTGTTTTTATTTATTAATTATTGTATTTATTTGTTTTACAATTGTAAACCTACTTTTGCCACCCTCTGTATTCTTCATTGCTATGTCACTAGTGCCTAGAAAATGCCAGTCACAGAGTAGGTACTCCATAAATATTTGTTGAATGAATGAACACACTCTATATACATATTCTAATATATTATTTTTGGGTTTAACATCTTTTGGAGATCTCTTCCTGTTCTTATATACAGATCTTTGTTCTGGGTGTGTGGGTGTGGGTATTTTTTTAAATTTTAATCTTCACCGGAGGATATACTTTTACTGATTTAAAAGAGAGAGAGAGAGAAAGAGAGAGAAACATTGATCGGTCACTTCCCACACTTGCCTCAAATGGGGATGGAACCTCTGGGCCACCCCTCTGGTGATCTGTTCTCTGTAATGGCTGTGGTATTGGTTGTCCATTCTTTGCACAGTTCTGATATACACAAATTTCAGTTACACAGTTTAGTTAAATAACACCAGTACCTTAAAAACATGGTTCAGATTTCAGTTACCATAGTATATTATATGAGTAATCACATAAAGTACAAACTTCCTTGCTAGCTCTTTAGTCCACAGGTCACTTGCAAATAACAGATTCTCATTGTCATCAGTGACAAATCACCTCCCTTTTTCCAAAGTATGTCAGTGATTGGTCATTGCACATCTGTTATCAATTATTCTAAGTATGCATTGTGTTGCCTCCTGACATTTTAAAAAAATGGATATATATCCACTTAACATTTTTTTTAATGGATAATTGAAAAGGAATTGGCCAACAAAGATAAAAGTGTAGCAAAGAAATGAAAAATGATAACACAGAAGTGAAGTTCAAATCTGACATACGGGGAGTTATAGAAGAAATAGCTGGCCCTGGGAATGCTGCCTCTGCTACCATTAGACAGATTTAGATCTGCAGCCAGAAGAACTTAGTGAAGGTGACCTTACTGGTATAAATGAGGAAAGTGGTTTGACAAAAAGGATTATGTCCCAGACTTAGTGTGATTGGCAAAAAGCTGCCACGTTAAAAGGCCTCAGTGATATTTTATGACACTGAAAGCTCAAATGGTAAAATGTTAAAATGTTCGAAGCTGATGTAAACTTTGAGAGGAGTATAACAATTTATCAAGACAGAGAAAAAGTGCCATTTCCATACTGTAAGTTACACAACAAGAAGGCGAGCATTGTTCAAACTACTCTTAAGTTTTTTACAAAGAAATAAAACACTAATTCTTTTTTTAATGTTTTTATTGATTTTTTTTTTTTAGAGAGAGAGGGATAAAGAGATAGAAACATTGATCAGCTGCCTCCTACACACCCCCTGCAGTGGATCGAGCCCGAAACCCCAGCATGTGCCCTGACCGGGAATCAAACCGGTGACCTCTTGGTTCATGGGTTGCTGCTCAACCACTGAGTCACTCTGGCCAGGCAAACACTAATTCTTAATGTTTCTAATGGTTTCGGTTATAGTATACTAGCCCGGCCATTGTGCCTCAGTGGTTAAGCATTGACCTATGAATCAGGAGATCATGGTTCAATTCCGGAACTGGCCACATGCCTGAGTTGCCGGCTTGATCCCCAGTAGGGGGCATGAAGGAAGCAGCCAATCAATGATTCTCATCATTGATGTTTCTATCTCTCTCTCTCTCTCTCCCTCTCCCTTCCTCTCTGAAATCAATAAAAATACAATTTAAATAAATAATAGTATACTAAATAAATATTAGTTTGATTATTTTTTCATATCCTTACATATTTAGAACTGACAGTATGAGATAGCCAAAAATTATAAAGCTCAAAACAATCATCATTTTTTATATTAATTATTAAGATTTGTTGATAAACTAAAGAGAATGGGGGCTGTTTCAGAAGATTATAGACAAGCAAATGTCTTGTTTTACAAATCTTTTTTTAAAATTCTTTATTGTTAAAAGTTTTACATAAGTCTCCTTTTTCCCCCATTGACCTCTTCCCTCCTGCTCCCACCCCCAGCACATGCCCCCATCACCCTATTGTCTGTGTCCATTGGTCATGCTCATATGCATGGATACAAGTCCTTTGGTTGATCTCATACCCCACACCCCCACCCTCTCCTGCCTTCCCTCTAAGGTTTGACAGTCTGTTCGATGCCTCTGTGTCTCTATCTATTTTTATTCATCAGTTTATGTTGTTCCTTATATTCTACAAATGAGTGAGATCATGTGATATTTATCTTTCCCCGACTGGCTTATTTCGCTTAGCATAATGCTCTCCAGCTCCATCCATGCTGTTGCAAATGGTAAGAGTT